TTAAACAAGTCTGTCTCCTCTGTCAGACTAAGCTCCCTCCACTTAGTGTGGTGGGAACTTGGTGGTGGGCACTCCTTGTCCTCCATGCCCAGCAGGGTGCATTATGCACCCACCGAGTGGCTGCCAGAGTTCCCAGGACAGAACTGGAGATCTGAGCCCGTGGTTCTGCAAATGTGGTCCCAGGACCAGGGAGGCAGCAGCAGCAGCAGCATCACCTGGGAAAAGTGTTAGAAATGTAAATTCTCTGGTTTTGGGTGTGAGACCCAGTCATCTGTGTTTGAACCAATTCTCCAGGGGATTCAGGTGCAGACAAACGTTGGAGAACCACTGGAGGAAGCAACCCCCCTGCTGTTCTATCAGTGTCCACTGTGGCAAAGAGCCGCTATAAGAGGAGCTGGGGATGAGCAAAGCCACGTCTTCAAATGCAGCAAAGGGCAGCCCATGTCTAACCAGGGGCGGGCCGAGCATGTGGACACTGGCCTACCATCCTTGACCCCACATGGGCCCACGCGTGCTGTTTGGCAGGCTGGCCACTGGAGGGCAGTGCGACCACGTCCATCGCGCCCCTGCGAAGGTTTCAGGAGGGAGCAGCCCTCGGAGGTCTGCCCAGGAAGACCAGCTGGGGCGGCCTCAGCCGGGAGGGAAGAAATAGACAGCAACCTCGGGCCACGAGCCCCAGACGTTCTTAGAAGCCCAAGGGGCTCAGCCGGTACACACCCCTGGCCCTTGTGTCTCGGGGTGGGGGTGGGGGCTCCCTGCCTCGCCCCTCCTGGTGCTTGAGTTTGGCTCGCCTTGGACCTGGAAGGTTCGGAGGCCCCGGAACTGCCGGACGCCCAGGGCAGGAGATACCGTCCGGCCTCCTGGGGCAGAGCGCCAGAGAGGGCGATGGGACCTTGACTGCCTCCCCAGAGGCAAAGTGCAACCTCCCGCGTGACCCCCTCTGAAGTGCAAAACAAGTCGGCCATCTTCGCGGGTGGCTTAACCCCCTCCTGGCCAGCCGTTGGGCAGGCTTAGGCTTTGGAGGCTGAAATGCCTTGGGAATGGGGAGGAACTTCTAAGAACTTTAAGAAAACATTGGACCCTGGCAAATTCCCCGAGGGCGTTTGGAAATCCCATTCCATTAGCCATTAGGAGCACTGGACTTTTGTAAGTGAATTGGATTCATTCCAGTCACCTTCTTTCTTCTTGCCCCATATTCACAGAGCACGAAGCCAGAGGTAGTAAAAGTTGCTCCTGGTGGTCATCAGGTGTTTGTCCCGCAGCTGAGTGTCAGGATCCCAGATGAGCTCTCATCCAAGTGTAGTGTCTTGTTGCTCACAGCATAAAGTGCACCTCCTTCCCAGGTCACGCCAGTCTCCAAGCCAAGGGTCAAGGACGGGCAGCCTGGCGCTGAATCTCAGTGGCTGACTCTTTTCACCAGGATTTTAAATGTCATTCTGAATGCTACTTGGGGAGCTGCGGGCCCTACGGGCCACACCAATCCTGTATCTTGTATCTCATCTGGTTCACACATTGATAATGTCTGTCATTTGGGTAATTTTCAGCTTATAGAATGTCCTTTTTATTTAATACTGTCGATCTTTCAAGGTCCAGTTTAATTATCAGTTTCACCAGGAATCCTTCCTCAGTTTCCCTCCCCTCGTCTTCAGCAGAAGCAGTCTCTCTCCTCCTCTGCCCACCTGTGGCACCATTAGCTTTTGCTGTAGGACCAACTCTCCTGTTTTCCTTGGCGCATCCTCTGGCACTGAACTGAGGGCACCAGGAGGGTAGGGACCGTGTGATATCGGTCTTTGTGTTCTGTATGGCGCCTCACACATGTGAGTCATTCAGAAAAGGGTTGTTGAAAGAGAATCCTGAAATTATTGAATGGGTTTGAGTGTTGGAAACAAAGTTCCCCAATGTTTTGAACCTTGGGCAAAGGAACATGTAATGTATTTTCTTAAGCCTTGTGATGGAATCCTTTTGTGTTTAATTGCTTTATTTTTAGTGAAAATGTCAGGGTGCCATAGGAACAAAAACCATGGGTCTGAGATCGACTGAGAAGACTAACCACCCCGTCCCGTGTTGGTTACTTCCTCTGTGTGGCCTTGGATAGGAGCCTGTGACATGGGATGGCAATCAGCATGTCAGGCCCCAAGGACCAGCCAAGGAAGGTCCAAACTGGGCTTGAGGTCATGATTTTAGGCTGAGATCTTCTGAGGAGGCAGAAAAGCAAGTGCCTTGAGAGTCTTGGAGAAGGCTGGAGCTAAAGGAAGAATCCTTTTTCCTTTTAGAGTAAGCCAAAAGTGCCCGATGAAGGACTCCAGAAAACTCCTTGCATGCCTCACCCACAGATGATTTGCTGAACACTCATTAAGGGGAAAACAAAGAGGTGGTTTTGTTTATTTATTTAAGAGGAAAAATAAATGAGCTGTGACAAAACAATTTGAAACCAGGCCCCTCCGAGACCTGGGCTTTCACTTCCTTGATGGGAAGTAAAACAGAGAATCGAATCCCCCTCCAAATAAAAGTGAAGTTAATAATCAGACAGCTCGAGCCCTGGCCACATCCTGTGTCAGCTCCCTCCCTCCCTTGGCTCACTGTTTATAGCTGCAGAACCCTCCTTCAGAGCCCAGAGTTCGCTTAACTCTTTCCTCCCTATCCCAGGGAAGCCCAACCCTGCTCTGAGGCCGGCAGGCTCCTCACACCCTCTGGTGCAAGGCCTGCTTTCCTCAGACCTGCCCACGTGGGCCTGAGCCCCACAGGGCAGCCAGCCTGCCTCTAAGCCCCTGACCAATGTGTTTAGTAAGCACAGCTTCGATTTGAGTGATATCTTCTGTTTGTGCTGCACAAAACCCAAAGTGTCGTCTTCCCTTGCCACCCCTCCAGGGAGACACTAGGTGAATGTGTTCTTCCTCCAGACTTAAGGCCTCTGCTCCATGCAGCTTCCATCGCCTGGTGGTTTCCATGAGCTGCATTTTGATGGAAAGAAGCACAGATCTTTGCAGCTTTTGGTCTGCGTCGAATGCAGTATTCTGTGCATGTCTCTGAGCTGCTTTCTATGAAAACTTTACACTTCCTTCAAATGCCTTTCCATGTTGTAGCAGTTATTTCTCCCAGGACCTGTGGGGTCATTATGAGCACTTTCCTATTAGGCTGAGGAGGAGGCCTTGCTAATATTTATTGAGGGATTTCTACTTGCCAGCCACTCTTGTAAGCAACATCTCTGTCCTATAGAACCACTGTCCTCATTGTACAGAGGAGGAAATGGGGGCACAGAGGGGGTAAGTACCTTGTCCATTGTTATAGAGCTGGTCAATGGCAGAGCTGGGATTCGAACCCGGGCATTGTGCCTCCGAAGCCTGTGCTCTTAGGCCCTGCACTCAAGCTCTCACAACAAAGATTGCTCTCCTCTGTGGAGCCAAGGGGCTTTGGGGAGCTTAGAATAATTCTGTGAATGCATTTTAAAGGTCCCAAAGCCTGAGGGCCTTTTAAGAATGTTGGAACTTTGTCTTGAGCAGTCCTCCCTCTCTCCTGTTCCTTCCTAGGGAAGAAGGTGCAGAGAACATGCAGGGGTTTGGTGGATAGTGGAGTCAAGGAGAGGCTGCGGGTGGAGCAGGTTGGGATGGGACAGGCCCCTTTATCCACTTGGCAGAAGGCCGTAGAACAAGAACCCAAAGACTTGGGGTAGCTGCTCTCTCAGTGACTGGACTGCCTTCTACTCATGTCCTCTCCTCCCTTCTAATCCTATAGTCTGTGGGTTCCTCACCTGAAGTCACCAACACGCTCTTCTGGCTGAAACTTGTCTCACAGGAAGCCACTAACAAGTTGCCTGGGGGCAAGTGGCAAAGACTTAGGAACTGGCTGTGTGGGCCACCTACTTACCTCTCCTGGGATTCCTTCCGCTGCATGCCATGAGTACTTAGATTTGTTCTTGGAAAAGGGGAGGGTGCATTGTGCTGCCCCCTGCTGTCTGGAAGCATTCTTGACCACTTGGCCAAGGCTCAGCTGGGGAAGCCTCCAGAAGCTGGGGGCTGGGGTGGAGTGGGGTAGGGGTGGGGGGAGACTGTGGAGCACAGGGCCTGCGGTCTGTCTGTGTGATCTGTCTGTGTACTCTGAACCCCTTGCTCCCTCTTTGCGATTAAGCTGATCTGCCGAAGGTCTGCTTTCTTGAAATGCATTTCGCCATTCAGAGCCATGGCCCTGAGTGGGCAGCGCCCCATTCCTCATTTTCCAATTCGTTCTCCAACCAGAGAAAAGACAGTGGGGGCTCCATCCCAAGTGGCCTGTTCTTCCCAGAGCAGGGGTGGTTCCTCTGGGAAGGGAGGAAGACAGCAGTGATTTCTCTGTGACACCTGAAGGTCGCTTGCCTGGATCAAAGAGGTCTCAGCATATGTGTGCCTTGACTTTTGTTTAATTTAGAGGTTTAAGTGTAGTGTCTGTAATTCAAACAGAGTGCCCAAGATGGGGCGGCTCCACTGTGGTCCTCAGAGGCTAAAGGCTGACATTTGTCAAAGCCCCTCAAATCAGACCCACCCCTTATTAGTGTTGACTAGTGCAATGGTGTTTTATGCCCATTAATCTCATTTACCATCACCCTAGAAAACGGGGTACATGTGATTACCTCCAGTTTCCAGTTGAGGAAAGTGAGTTTAGAAAGGTTGAGTAGCTTGCCTATTCTGCTGGGGGGAACAAAGTTCACTGTAGTTTCAAATACATTGAAACCAATTTAAAAATAATTTTCACGGAGTTTAAAAGCAATGCAAAGTGGACACCAGTCTCTCTGAATGTCTTTTTCCCCAGTCCTGAGGGGACTACTCTTGGTCTTCAGCATGTGTGGGGAGGGGGTTTGACACACCCGCCTGACCCTGGGGTGGTGGTCTTCCTTCCCGCTTGCCAGCCCTCCCTGGCTCCTGGAAGATCTCCCCACACAGCCTCTTTTCTTATCCAAGAAACGCATGTCCTTAGAAAGTGAAGATCGTGTTGTAAGAATCAATAAGACAAGAATTCCTGAGTTGAAATTCTCTCAGCTTTTATGAACTTAAAACATTTTAGTATGAAAAAGTCCAGACATATACAGAAGGAGACAGGGTAGTAAGATGAAGCCTCATATACCCATCACCAACATCATCGAATCCTGGCCACGCTTGTTCATTTATATCACCGTCTGCCTTCCTAACTCCCACATAATTTTGAAGTAAATCCTATATAGCAGATTATATCATTATCAGTATAGCAGTATGTATCTCTCAAAAGAACAGACTCATTAAGCGTAGCCTCACGGTCCTTATTATACCTAAAAAATTAACAACGCCCCTTAAATATTACCAAGATGTAGTCTGTGTTCACATTTCCAAAACATTTTTTAAAGTCTTTGCCTTTCTACTTGGGGTGGGAGTGGGGGCCGGGGAACAGCCTTAAAATAAGAATTTCTCAGCATTTGGTCATGTCCTTACAATCTAGCTTCTAAAAGGACAGATTTCTGAATTTGGGCAGAAATGCCTGGTTATTAAGCCTTGGAGGCCGACGGGCTTGCCCCTTTGTGGCTCTCCCCAAGGCAGAAGCCGTGCACATAGTGGGTGCTGGGTTAGTGTGCGCTGAGTTTCATGGCAGGATGGACACACGCGAGGGTGGGGCTGCAGCCTCGTTGAGCTAATGCGGGAGGACTGTTCGGCAGCCCCTGTGTCCTCCCACCCACGCGGACGCCCGGCTGTGCGTGGCTGGCCTTGGCTTTCTGCGCAGGACTCCACCCGCCAGCTGCCTGGGCCTCCTCTGGGACCCTCTTCTCGCTCTTGCTCAGGATACTTGACTGTGTTCCAGTGACTCCGTGGAACCCTACTTGGTGGGGCCTCTGGCCGCCTTCTTGGTCTTGCCAATTCGCTGTTTAACATACAGCAGCAGTTGACTGGGGGTGCTTTTAGGGAGGGGGGCAGCTCGCATGTGGCAAGCGCTTTGCTCCTCTGTCCCCACAGCAGCCCCAGGAGGTCAGTATTGCTGTCTCTGCCATTTCACAGCAGAGGAGACTAAGGGAGGGCAGGTAAGTCCCTTGCTTGCTAGGAAGTGGCAGTGCCAGGATTTGAATATGGTCAGCCTGAATCGGGTGCTCTTCATTGCAACATATTGGTTCCTAAATGTTAAGACTCGTTTAGCAAACTGCTAGGCAACTTGGCCAAGGACCAGGCACTTACTCTTTTGAGGACAAATCTTGACAAGTTGGGATCTGCAGTTACCATGCACTTTTCCCTGCAATGTTCACATCTTCCAGAACAGATATAGCATGACTTATTATTATCCACACCCTTATTAGCAGATTAGCTCAGTTGAATGGAATAAATTTTAGGTCATTCAGCCTCTAATTTCCTGGTTTGTCTTTTTTCATGGTTAAATAATAGTTTGAGTCATAGATGACATTACCATAACAGAGTTGAAGGTTAGCAGGGCTGGGAAGGAACTGGGTTGAGTATCCAAGGCCATAACCTAGAAATGATCCCTTCTGTACATTTTGTCATATCTCTCAGTTTTCAGTTTTTGACAGGAGAATAATGTGACTTATAGAATGTAAAGAATCAAGGTCAAGTACTTAAGAATTCTTAGAGGGAGAAAGGCTGGCACTGGCACCATCTTCTTTGTCCTAGTCAATCAGAGTTCAGCCTGTGTGGCTTCTCCTTGGCTCAACTTTGGAGGTGCAATTTTGGATGTCTTGGTGAGGCTCAGATCCCTTATCTATTGGGGGAGCCTACCTCACTCACTGTCGACAGCCTTGGCACGCCAAAGCTGGGGGCTAAACCAAACTCACTTGCATTTTTACTGCCTTCGCTTCTTGATTTTGCCTTGGTTTGCTTCAGCTTTCTTCCAACTCCTGCTATTCTAGAGAAATAGAAGGGTGGGGAGAGGTGGGTTTGATTAAGAAAGGGAAATGGAAAAACCAAAGCAAACACAGAGAAGAGAGGCATCAGCAGACTCACAGGAGAGAGGCAACAGAAGGCTGAAAGAGTCCAAACACGCAAAGGGAGCAGAACCAGCGTCTAGGTGCTCATGGTGTTTATGGACACACAGTCCATATGAACTTCAAGAAACTGTTTGCCAAACATGGCAATGGGAAAGCTGTGGCTATCTTTAGGTCTCCTGGCGAACACCTGGGAATTAATTTAAATTACTTAAGTCGTTTCCAAAAGTGGCATTTGCTGGGACACCTCTGGCTTTGTATAGAGTTGGGGAAGCCAGTCTCCCATGAACCCCAACTGTTCCAGAATGGTGTGTCTCTGGGTTGGTTTAGCTCTGGTCCACAGAGCTGGTGACTGGATAAGCGCCTCCCTGGATGATGCAAAGCTGATTACCAGGGCTCCATCACACCTAACGCTTCTCCTGTCTGCCACAGGGCATCTCCTGCTCAGATTCTCCAGCGAGCCCTCCAGAGGGCACCATGATGGAAGCCACCAAACTGGGGTGAACTGGAATGGTTTTCGGCCTTGCCCAGGAAGATGAGCCCTCACTCTGCAAAAGACCAACAGTGGAGGTTAAGTTGGGAGAATTGTAGGAAAATCAAGGGCAAGATGGCAAGTGTTCTTTTCTAGGACTGTCCTTGCTCAGTGTTTGGAAGAGTCTGAAATCCACAAAAAGCAGGGAGACTGAGAACATTAATGAGTGGGGTTGGTTGAGGGCCAAAGCAGTTGTTTTAAATTCATTGCTGCCTCCTTTTCCCTCCTGGGTCTCTATTTTTATTTTTTTTTTCTGGTGTTGTTTGCTTTCACATTCTTCTCTCTTTGCAGAATATTTATAACCGCCCCCTTCTTCTTTTTTCATTTTCAATTCCCCTCCTCACCCTACTCTGCCTTCTTAGCATAATTTTTCTTTTCTTTTGGTCTTCCTTGTTTTACATCTGGATTCCCTGATGGTTTATTTTATCCATTTCCTGATTTTCACTCCTCTCCCATTTCTTACAGCCTCCCCTCCCTAACCGCCCTCCCCGCCCCCCCCCACCACTTTTTCTTCAGCTTCAGTTCTTTTTCCCCTAAAGATTTCCTTGGGCCACACAGGCTTTTATTCTTGTTCATCTGTTTAAGCAGTGCTGGCAAGAAGGAGGCCACAGCCGGCAGGCAGAACCACGGTGGCAGAAGAGGACCTGGGCATCTGAAGATTCTCCCTCAGCCCCAGTGTCCTTGGAAGAGGAGCTTCTTTCTGGAGAGGGGGCTGGGGACAGTGCTGCTCTCCCCCTGCGAGGGTTGACATCATCTGCCAGGCCCAGGCTGAGATTCTAGGGCAGATGGTGTTTCCTCCACGGTGTGTGGGCCTGGGCCGCATTGCTCAGGCAGGCCATGGAATCCGTACTTCTCTGTGTGGACTGCTGGGGGATTCACCAGGTTCTTCCCTGAAAGGCTGGGACTCAGGGGAGGTGCACCTACTGTATCACTTGCAAAGCTCTGTGCTGTGGGTGGGAGACTTGCAGCATAGGGTCTGCCTCACTCTCTGGCCGAAGTTGGCCTGGGCGTCTGGGGAGACAGAGGCAGTTTTCCAGCAGAAGATCCTTCCAATACCCCCATCCCTAGCCAGAGGGCGTTTTCAGGCTGCAGGGTGAATGCAAGAAGCAGCTGATAATTGGAGGGAAGTATCATAAAGGCTCTTGGCCACTGGAAAGCAACACAAACCCCACCTGTGAGTCTTGAGGGTCAGCCCTGGTACTGATAGAAGCAGGTGGCACTTCTTGATGGGCGTGGTGGCAGAGAAATCCTAGAAGTTGCAGCCGCACCCCTCCTTGTCTGGAGCGGTGGGAGGGGTGTGAGGAGCGTCCAGGCTCTGCTCCCCAGCTGTCTGAGGGCAAATCGACTGGAGTCCATCTGGCTGTCGCCCCTCGGCCCAGGCTTGCTTCCCACCCTGGGGTGTCAATGCCATTGGGTGCTGGCTGAGTCCTTAGCAGGCCCAGCTGAGGGATGGATGCGTCAGTGCTCTGCCTGGGTCACACCCGGAGCTGAGTTGCATCCTGGGGCCCAAGAACACCCAGTGGATGCCCATTGGGCTGCACTGTCTTTTCCTAGGTCCTGTGGTGATGGTGGCCATATGCTTCTCTGAAAGTGCCACCAAGGGTCCCCTTACCTTCTCCACACCTTGTTCTTTTGCCAGGCCCCATCCATCCCTCCTGCTCCTCATCAGTGCACAATGTTCTCTGCCACTTTTGAAAAGTGCTATTGATTATATAGAAGCTTGAGAGAAATATTTGCTTATATTTTATACTCTGCTTATAATTTGCTTATGTTTTCTAAGCCTTCTATCCTGGTGTCCAACTCTTAGAATCCAGCATTCTTTAAGACCCTAGAACCATATGATCCAGGAACCCCTAGGCCCTTATCACTAGGCCTTGTGGGTTTGGTTTATCTCTGGTTCAAGGGCTGTCCTAGGCAGGAAGACTGGTTAGGGGACTGACTGGTGATGAATTTTCTTCTAAGTTCCCTCGACTTTGCCAGGAGGCTGGGGGCAAGGATCTGGCCTCTTTGATCTAGGAATTCGGGTGGAGATTAGGATCCCAACAGCCTCTTGCCCTTCCCACCTGAGCCCAAAGTGCAGGCTCCTTCAGTCTGGCATCTCAGCACCGCCTTGTTCCTGCCACCTCCCTCTGCCTTCCCTCTTCCCACGCACCCACGTTGTATAAATATTTACACCCCCGGGCTGGCAGGAATCTTTCTCCAGCTGCTTTCCCTGGTCTCTGGGAGAGCTTGTTCTCTCACCGAACAGCTGCAGCAGATCTAGTTGCCTTGGTCAGACAAGGGCAGGCCCTGGTTTGGGGGCCTGCGGTCCCCCGCGGGTGGAGGGTGCAGTTGGCAGGAGAAATTCACCTCTAAAGAAGTCACAGGGCTGTGGCAAAGATCCATCCTCTCTCCTCTGCTGGCTGCCTAAGTGGCGACCCTCCAAGAGCTGTCTGATCCCTGCTTTAGCTGGGGAGGTGGGTCCTGCTTCTTCAGGGTGGGGTCTGCTCCACTCTGGGCTGGGTTTTGCTAGAGAAGGCTGGAGGATCATTCCAAAGCAAACTGGCTGGTGCTAGGACAAAAGAGGAACTTAGTTTACTTGCGAGCGTTGTACAGTTTATACGTGCTATACCCTTGTTCACGCTGAAGCAGACCCCGCAGTTCAGAGCAAGAACCCTCTAGGGAATCTTCATACTGGGCCTCTCGCAAACTCCTGGCCAAGACATTGTCCTTCCCACCAGCCCCTGAGCAGTCTTTCCACTTTGGGGCTGGGGAATGAAGAGGTCAGATGCTGCTTTTCCTTGTTTTCTTTGGTGACCCAGGAAGCAGGAGTTTGCCAGGGAAGCAAACTAGCATTTGCTGGGCTCCCATGGGCTGGGCACTGCATGAGGTACTTCCCCATATTCTCATGTGATGACTTAAGTCTTAAGCTCGGCAGATTTTTGAACTTCCTCGTGTGTCTCCTCTTTCTGCCCTCACACAGAAGCCACATAGCAGCGAGCTCCCAGACACAGAGCCCATCTCTCTCCGGTCCTTTCAGGCTCAGCAGGCACCTCCTAGAGCCAGCCGGTCAGTGGACGCTGTTCTTACCTACCCACAGTGGGTGCAGTTCGCCTGCTGCCACCTCCCCTCCTGTGTCTCAGTTTCCCCCATATCTGTGCGAGGTAATTTACCTTTTCTTCACAAAGCATTCCAAATTCAGCACGAGAACGGCTTTTTAAAAAACAAGGTGGTAGTTTCATTTAACTCCTTTTTCTACGTATGGAACAGGGGCAGGATGTTCAGGTATCGGGCACTAAGAAGAATGTGTGTTCAGTGCTTTGGGGAGGCTGAGCAGAGGGAACACAGGGATAAAGGGCCTTGATTACATATACGACAACTCCCAAAATTCAAGTAGAGGAGCCGCTGGGCGTGTGGGTGTAGGATTGGGGACTTGGGGACGGGGTTCTGATGGGGGCTGGGGACAGAGGCTCTAGTCTCCCAATACTCACACTTGTGCCAGAAAGAAAACAAATTCAATATCCCTCCCACTCCAGACCCCCTCCCGGAATGAGAGAAAATCTGATGTCAAAGGTGCCTGGGTGAGACTGCAGAGTGAGGCCTGGCCCCGTGCTTGGTATTCAGTGGGTAAAGGGCCATCTGAAGGTGAGGCAGGGCTGGAGTGGGCTGCCTGCCAGGGAAGATGCAGGGAGAAAGATGGGAAACCACAGCTCAGGCAGTGCAGCTGCGAGATTTTCCTGCTGCCTGCCTCCCCACCCCCAAAAGGTAAAACAAAACCCAAATAAAAGTCTGACCTGGCAGATATTAATACCCCAGAGCCAGGGCTGGTGTGCAAGCCGCCAGACCCTCTCCCCCTTCTGTTTCTATAAGCGGCTGAAATAAATTTAGCGAAACAACCCCACCCGTCTGAGGGCCTAAGATTTCAGAGCAGTGGGACTCTTTACCCTGAAAGCCCCTGTTTTTCAGAGCTGAGAGCTTTTTGTTTAAATTCCCTTTGGGAATGGAATGCTCTCAATCTAAAATAATTATTTTACAGCAGTCATTTATTCCTCACAGATAAATGCTTTGACACAGTATGGCTTGCCAGAAAGCTGATCTACAGATGCTCTACAGCTTAAAATTGTCAACTCCATGGGGCCAATGCCTGTTTGGATCCATTAGAGTATTTATTGTGATTATCTTTTGCGAAGTCTATGCATGTTCAGCTAAGTCCCTCTGTTGTCTGTCATAAAGAAGAGTGGTTATAGTTGGCTAAGTTGCCACAGTAGAGAAATACTTATTGAGAGCCTACTGTGTGCTAGGCCTGTGCCAGGCACTGGGGGTTGAGTTGAGAGCAGAGACAGACTGCTCTCATGTAGCATATATCCTGGTGAGAAGGGAGATGTCAAAAAGTTAAAAGATTACAAAAAACCTGGTGATTAACATCATACTTAATAGTGAAAGACCGAATACTTTCTTCTAAGGTTGCAATCAAGATGAGGGTATTAACTCTCATCATGCGTATTCAACATCGTATTGGAAGTCCTAAACAGGGCAATAAGGCAAGAAAAAGAAATAAAATGCATAAAACTGGAAAGCAAGATATTTAACTATTCCTATTCATATATGATTGTCTATGTTGAAAAACAAAACACATGCACACACAAAACAAAACTAAGGAACCTACCAAAAAACTTCCTGATGACTAAAGTGACTTTGTAAGATTATAGGATAAAAAGTCAATACACAAAAATCAACTGTATTACTATAACGTGTAAGAAATTGGGAACTAAAATTTAAAAAATTTACAAGAGTTACCCCCAAAAGGGAAATAGTAGGTACATATCTAATGAAACAGATATTGTATCTATATGCTAAAATCTATAAAACACTGATTAAAGAAATCAAAGAAGACCTAAATAGACATACCACATTCATGGATTAGAAGATTCGACATAGTAAAGATGCCAACTCTAGAGAATTGATCTATAGACTTAATGCAATTCCAATAAAAATTTAGTAGGCTTTTTTGTAGCTACAGATAAGCTGATTCTGAAATTTATATAAGAAGGCAATGGAACGAGAATAGTAAAACAATTTTGAAAGTTAAGAATAAAGTTGGAGGAATTATGTCACCTGATTTTAAGATTTACCATAAAGCTACAATAATCAAGACAGTGAGGTACTGGTAAGGGAATGAACACACAGATCAATGGAACAAAATAAAGAGACCCATATCAATATGGCTAACTGATTTTTGGATAGGTGCAAAAGCAATTCAATGAAAAAATGATAGTTTTTTTTTTTTAAAACAAACAGTGCTGGGATTGGACATCCATAGGAAAAAAAATGAACTTCAACCTAAATTTCACATTTTATATAAAAACTAACTCCAAATGGATCATAGATCTAAGTATAAAATATAAAACTATTAAACTTGCAGAAAAAATAGAAAATCTTAATCACCTAGGGGTAGGCAAAGAGTCCTTGGAAGTGACATCAAAAGCATGATGCACAGAAGATAAAACTGATAAATTAGACTTCATCAAAATTAAGAACTTTTACTCTATGAACATACTTTGTTGAGAGAATAAAAAGATAAGACTGGAGAAAATATTTGTAAATCACATATTCGACAAAGGAACTGCATCCAGAATATATAAAGAACTTAATATTCAACAGTAAGAAAACAACGATTAAAAAATAGGCAGAAGGTGTGAACAGACATTTCACCAAAGAACATACGAGTGGCAAATAAACACATGAAAAAATGTTCAATATCATGACCCATTAGAAAAACGCAAACTAAAACCACAAGGAGATACCACCACACACTTATTAGAATGAGTAAAATAAAAAATACTGACAATTATCAGTGCAGGTAAGGATGCAGAGCAACTGGAAACTCTGAGATAATGCTGTTGGAGATGCAAGATGGTGTATCCGCTCTTGACTATGATCTGGCAGCTTTCTATAAACTTCATCATATTCTTACCATATGACCCAGCAATTCCACCCCCAGTTATTTACCCTAGAGAAATAAGAACTTCTGTTCACACAGAAATCTGTACACGAATGTTTATTGCAGCTCTATCACAATGGCCCCAAACTGGAAATCCAGTGACCTCCAACAAGTGAATGGATAAAAAACTAGTTGTATACCCATACAGTGGAATATTATTCTTTAGTTAAAAGCAATGAATTATTGATACATTCAATAACATGACTAAATCTCAAAGGCATTATGCTGTGAAATCATACAGACTGTATGATTCCATTTATACGGCATTCTGGAAAAGACAAAATTCAAGTATAGAAAACAGATCAGTGGTGGCCCAAATAAGAGATGGGGGAGGGTGTGACTACAAGAGGATAGGATAAGGAAGGTTTTTGGGGGTGATGGGACTGTTCTGTTTCCTGATCGTGGTAGCAGTTACATGAATCTATTCAAATGTTAAAATTCAGGGAACTGTATACCAAATAAAGGTCAATTCTACTGTGTGTTAAATTAAAAAGTGAAAAATGGTTAAGGAATGAATGCATACTCACAAACTGATGTAACTACTGTGAAAGAAATGAATATTCCATGAGGACATAAGAGAGAAGGCAAAACAAACATCTTGCCTTGATGGGGGGAGGTGAGCACCAAGAATG